ACTAAAATATTGATACATTTAGTTTCTTTACATAAACAAGGAATAACAATAAACAAAAAAAAGGTTACTATATGTACGCTATATAAAAATTACAAACTCAAACTATGCATCAGTGAAAAAATTATAAAACTAAGCATGATCAGCTGTTTACAAGGTGGTTTTGATATTTTTAAAGCACTTACTACTTGTTTATTGATTATATAAGATAAATGATAGCCGACATCCAAGATTTAAAAAAAATCTAAAAGAGGAAAAGCTTAAAGTTGGGATAATTTGACTATTTTCTCCAACAAAACTGAAAAAGAACACCATTATTCAATTTTAGCAGTAGTTTTTCAATATACCCTCAGCACATGCCCAAGCTCTTAATGCAGGTCTCATCTATCCCAAGATTCTTATTTTTGATGTTGCTGTTTTATTCTGGGGGTTGGCAAGAGTCCTGTCAGTAGGAAAGAGAGATAGAGAGGGCTCACAGGTCAGCAACCCAAAGGTAAAAGAGTATGTTTTCACAGTATTTCCTGGTCTACGCAATATTCAAGAGAGCCTAAGGCAGGGAAGCTTGAAGAATCATGGGGAAAAGGACCAAGATTCACTGATTTGATAAAAATTTATTGAGCAAATGCCACATGCCAGGCACTGTTTTATTTTAAGCCCTAGGGATACAGAAAAGAAAAAGTTCCTGCTTTTGTGGAGCTTACATTCCAGATTAGGAGCCAGTCAATTGGATGGGGGGGGCGGGGAGCAGTACTTTTTTTACGAACATTAATTAAATTAACCAAATACAGCAGGAAGACAGGTGAGCTCAAACTTTCAGAGGAACAACTGGTTACTGGTCTTTCCTTAAAGGATTTAACTTAAGAGAAAAGTTGAAGCAGAGCAAAAGATTCATATCACCCCAGAATGAGCAATTTCTCCCTGTCCAGATCTGATATTGTATATAGCTCTGAATAGAGGAGGAGAAAATTTATTTTGCTAGTAATGACTCCTAAAGTAAATGGGACAAGCTGAATGTGTTCCTCAAGAGAAAGGAAAACTCCTGTTTTGTCTCCATATTGCAGAGATGCCCTTTTGATCTTGGTGTGTTAGGTGAATTGTCCCTTTCCTCATGAAAGACTCTATCTGCTACTCCACAACTATGTAAATCCTGTTATTCTGGGTCCAAGTTAAGCCTTAACCTATCCAAAAAATCTCTTTAAACTAATCTCACTTAAAATGAGCTATTATTACTGTGTGCTCCTTCATAAGTAGTTTGTACTCATTAATTTCACCCTTGCTCACATGAGGCCTTCAAACTGGTCCCAAGCTACTGTGCGTGTATTTGCTTTATTTTCCTGAGTAATTGGTGGGCTCCTTAGAGAGGCCACATTTTCTTTTGCTTTCGTGAAAGTACCTAGTGTAGTCCTAGTAACATTGTGAGGACCTTAATAAAATACATTCTGTGGGGATATTAGATTAGGAGGATAATAATATTAGCCATTTACATTTGGCCACACAACAGATAAAAGTGACCTTTAAACCAAACTATAAGCCCTTTGAGGGCACTGATTGTATTACAGTTATAGTTGTGCCCTTAAACGCATAATTCCATTTAATCATTACAACAACCTTACGGAGGAGGGGCAATGACTATCCACATTTTATACCAAGGAAACTGAGGTGGAGGAACATTAAGTAACTTCTCTAACTTCACATAACCAGTAAGTGGTGGAGTCACAACTGGACTCCACGGTTAGAACTCTTAATGACTCCTGTTTCCTGTAGGATCAGAAGTGTGCCCACGTGTCTTCTGAGGCTCATCACACTGTCCTGGCTCTTCCAGGGGTAACACAGACTGCATGCAAGAAAGAAGAGAGGCAGAAGCAGCTCATGAGGGAGGAAGAGGCAAAGGTGGACAAGGATTCCGCACGCTATCCTGCATGGTCCATGAATGACAAGGAGGAGAAAGGAGGCAAGAATACAAGTGCAGGTAGACAGAGAAGTACAAGGAGAAAGAAGAAAGGGGAAAGGGAGAGGAAAGACGGAGAAAGAAGAAGAGGAAGGAGAGAAAGTGAGATGGATAGGAAGAAGAGACAGCCAGAAATTCCTTAACCGGAATGAGTAACAACAACAAAAAAGTGCATCAGGGTTAATAAGCAGAGAAAAGAGCAAGACTTCTCAGAAAAGGCGCAGAGACACTGACAACAATCCTGAAAGGAGATGGTGGTGCACAGAGAACTGACCAGCCTGAGAGTCAAGGGCTGCCCAAGTCCCAGCACACCCCATGCATTGGGAGACACTTACAGAGCAAGAGAGGCGGTGGCAGCAGTGAACAGAAGGAGGTGCCCAAGGGATCCAATAGCACCTGAGAGGAGCAAATAGGAAAGTGAGAGCTGGTGGGAGGCTGCCCAGGAGCCACCACCCAGGTGCTGGTCTGCCAGGGCACTCACCTCCACGGCAGGCCTGGATGAAGAACATTTTCGGCTTGTTCTGAAGGCTTGGGCAGTTGGCATTGTCAAAGAGCCGAAAAACCTCTTGTAGCTGCCAGAAAGAAATCGGGGAGAAGGGAGGTTAAGTAGTCGGCAGGGCCTCCTGAAGTCCTACACATACAACAGCAGCCCCCACTGGAAAGAGAGCAGGGAGGAGGTGAAGCAGCCTAGTTTCAACAGCCGGTGTCCACGTGACTATACTCACCTGAAGCAGTTTGCCATCCACACCATAGATGGCACCCTCCACGCCATGAGACAGGAGAGCCACTATGCAGGAGTCCGTGGCACGGTGGGTAGGTAACTGTGCAAAATTCTGGAGTTTCTCTTGCATTTCCTAGAAGAAAGAAGCCTTTTAGTGTTGTTCACTGTAGCGAGTACTAATATGAGCTCTAATCTTTGGTTTCTATTTGAAACCCTAAGTTATGAGAAGATCAAAATGTTTTCTGTATATTCCTCTGGTCAAAGATATAAGAAGTCAGAGACCCTTTGAAAAGCTAAAGATAGCTATGGACTCACCAAAAAATGCACATGACTTCAGACACAAAATTCTGAATACAGATTCAGACTCACTGAGATAGGTTAAGAACTCCTGGACTAAAGCAAGTAACTAATGAAGCTAATCATGAGCTAGTCAACTTTGATTCATTCCCTCACCATCACCCAGATCCTTCATTAGAGCAAGTGCCCTTGTATATAAATGGCATGAGGGGGACCAGCAGGGGAGCTGTGAATGAGTAAGTAACTACTATTCAGCTACAAGAAAATAAACTGCTCCATGACAAAGGGTTGATAGCGTCACGATAGTAGAGAACAGCAGTACTTAAATGCTGTTTTCTGCCTCAGACTGTAAGTATCCAAGAGGTAGCAGTGATGTCTGTATAAAACACTTTGGTCAGGGAAGAGCACACTTTGATGGAGGATCCCACACAGCCCAGTGATTATATACATGGGCTCTGGGATCAGACCCATCTAGGTCCGAACCCTGGATTCTTAGAACAAGTTAATTAGCCACTCAAGGCTACAATTTCCACTTTATAAGAAAGTAATTATGAGTAAATTTTCTCTATGTTTGTGAAGATTAAAAGAGATATTGCTTAGAAAAGTCTTATCACTGTGTAGTGCCTGGCACATACTGCAAAGATCTGTCATTATTACAATGTACGTGTCTAAATAAGAGCAATAACATTACCATTTTTTCAAAGAAAACCTATTATTGGTTAACCTTGGAGTCCAATTTAAGAATCAAGCACCAAGTTACCATAAGTTAAGCATTTGATCCATGCAACAGAAAGTTATACTGTACTTAATAGTATAATAATCTGGCACAAACTTTTAAACCTATGTCTCCCTCTACAACTAAAGATGTCTGTGTCTCCTCTCCTGAGATGAGGAGAGAGAAAAAAAGTTCATTTTATTATGAATTTGAATGAAATATAATGAAGATGAGTATGCCATCTAGGCAGAACAATTATAGCACACACATATTTAGCATTTACCACACACACATCCAAATAAAAAGCACTTGTGTAATATACTGCAGTGGTTCTCAAAGTATGCTTCCTAAAGGGAACTTTAAGAAATGTGAAATCTTGGACCCCAGCAAACTGGGTTTTAAAAATCCATCCAGGTGATTCTGCTATGTTACAGGTTGAGAACTACTAATCTATTTATTTGGAATACTTTTGTTTGCAGATAATTGAGATGTAATTATATAAAAATTTAAAAAAATCAGCAATAGAACTGGAAGTGGAGAAATTGCCTTGCTGAAAAAGAATGGGTAAATACAAGGCAACCATAAGAATAGAAATCTTAAGGTAGTAAAAGATACAAAGTTCATTTGCTTCAAGAATACATAATTTCAAGAGAATACATAACTGTGAATGTTTGTCTGGAGCTGACCATAACAGAATTTAACATACAATAGTTAAAGAAATTAATTTTGCTTGAAGAAAGGAATAAAAATTAAATACTTGAGTACCTACTCATGAGCATTTTGAACTTAGTGAGATTATTAGGTCAGTAAACAGAGGACAACAAAGCCCAGAGTAAGAACACGCACACTTTGTAACTGACCTTAGTAAGACTAAACCATTCAATAAATGGGGATTGGTTATTTGGGGGGCATTTTTCCACAAGCAGCATAGCTTAAAATAAGATTTGTAGATTTATTTCTGATAAAATTATAGTATTTCTATAAATAGTAGGATTCTTAACTCTTGCTATGTTTTTGGCTGGGGGTTGGGAGACACATGCAAAAAGAATAACCTGTGAACCCCCTGAAATTATGTGCAAAACTGTATGGGTAGCTGCATTTTCCAGGAATGTCCTATAGCTTGTCCCTACATTTTCAAAGCAGTCTGTAACCCAAATGCAAGTTAAAAACAATACCACATGGTAAAAGTAAATTTGCCACTTTAAAATGTATCTTATTTCCTAATATATGGTAAATAGTAATTCTATAACTAATAACCTTGAAGTAGATGCAATGAGACTTTGATGATAAAGAGAAAATTGAAAACATACTTGGGCAGTGAGAACACCAGTGTTTTCTCCAGCACTGTCAAGGGAAGAGAATTCTCTAAGACTATATTATTTCCTATTTTTAAATGGGATTTATCTCTAAAGTCAAAAGATTTGATAGGGGAAAAAGGTGGGTGGAGGGGATCTTAATTGTTTTGATTCTGTTTCTTTGCTCACGAAATAATTTTGAAATAAAAGAATTGAATCTCTTGAGAGGTCCCACCATGAAGAGCATATTCTGTGCAGATGCCAGATGCACCAAATTATGATATCCACTGTAACCACATTTCTTGTCTATACTGGTTCTCCCTACCTAGGAAGGCTTCACCACTCCTCTCTGCTTTAGTAACTGCTATCCTTCAAGGCCAGCTCAAGTCCCACTTCCTCCATTTATCCTTCTGACTATATCTATCCAGGCATTTCTTTCTCTTAGTATAAAAGACCTCTCCAATCCTGCTTGGTCCTTAGGAATATAAGGGGAATGCTTCCTTTTCTGCTGATGTCAAGATTCCCTCATGTATAACTGAAGTTCCCTGAACTCAAGGTCCACATTTTTAAAATCTCTCGTAGCTAACACAGTCCGCCATTATAAGGTACTCAAAATTTAACTCTACTGCAATTCAAGTTATAGAGAAATGTAACCAGAGAATTAGAAGCCAACAGGTTCTTGAATGTGCATCAGGTTTAGCATAAATGGAAATGGCATTTATGAAGTGGATTCATGGACTTATCAAATCTACTGAATGTCTCTGAAAAAACAGCAGCATACAGCTGACTTGGTGACTAGGTACTATATCTTTATCAGGCATGTAGGATCCCTTATCAACTGCATACAATTTGGAAAACCATACATAATAGATTCCTAGTAAAAGCAATGGCTAGACCAAAATCTCTAAGAAAACATACATAGTATAAATTTTGTCAAGTGACCTTCTAACAGGATTTCCTTCTCCTATTCATGTTCCCTTCATGCCCAGCAGTCCTCTAAGAAAACTGAATAATCTACTCGAATACCTGATGACTGAAGAGGCTGTTCTGGCCATGGCTTCAAAGCAAGGCGAGGTTCACTACTTTGCATGGGCAATTACTGCTGGCAAAAACAGCATGTAAAGGACAACACCCAGGTACCTGTTGATGGAACTGGCCTTACCAAAAGTATAGCAAATATGTAACTATTCCCAATGCAGCAGGACAGCTGAGAAATAGAAATGAAGGACAATGCTGAACATGAAACAAAGATCCTCTACCTCAACAGATCAAAGAGAATCTCCTAGAAATTTTAATTTCACCACTGACAAACCCAAAAGCAAGCTTAAGAAAGTACTATTATTCTAGAATCAAAATAAAGGATTAATATAAATTTACAAATAGGCTATTGTTGACTTCAAAACAGAAATCCTACAGGTAACAAAATCAGTAGTGCAGCTTGGTAATTGAGGTTGAGGAGTAACCCATAATGAAAATACTTATTTACCAGAATCTAATCCAGAAGCAATCTACCCTAAGATATAACTTGAGGCCATACAACTGATAAGAGTAAGGAATTGCCCCATATTAGACTGCCACTAAATAGTATTTACACGGATAATTCTGGCAAACTTTAACTGGCAAGGCTTATATCTGCTAAAGTAATCTTTTAAACAGAAATTGGGCTCCTAAGTAGCACTATTAACCAAGAAGTAAATGTCCTGTTAGTCCTAGCTTATAAATATCTTTTCTGAATAGGTTAAGGTGAATCTCAGTGTTTCATCACTTCCTGAGTGACGGGAAATCGTTTCTGAACATGTAAAAGTGAGGACCCAACCCTGTACTACTATTATTCCACGAAAGCACAGTTACCCTGAGACATCAACACTGCAACATTGAAACACCTGGCTGGCCCTAATTCTTTTTACTAGATTGCAAGGTGAGAGGTAGAACAGAGTCAGTTAAAAGGTAAGGAGAGTAAACAAGTTGTAAGACATATCCCAGCATGCACAAGAGGAGCAGGTATTTCTGGCCCCAAAGTGTTGCCCAGCCCTCTAATTTACATGTCAGTTTTTCCTGCCTCAGGTACCTGTGCAGTCTGGTCATGCAGAACATGGATGTCATAGCCCAAAAGCTTGAAGAGTGTGACTAGGGAACCGTGGTCCACATCCCCTCCAGAGCGAAACTCCAGGTCTTTCTCTCCAGTGAAGTGCACATTGCTCAGCACCAGTGCCAGGCCACGCGGCCGAGACTGCAGCCTATAGGCCTGGGGAGGGGGGCCAGTTAGACCATAAGCTTCTTGATGACAAACTATGATTTCCCCCTTTAGATGGGACATTTCAAGAAAACACAGACATCACATTCTTCTTCTTAACCCCATCAGGTGAAGACAGAGAAATGCCCTCAGAGGGCATCTAATCAGCAATGACTTTCTGACTAATACGGCAGTTAGAAAACATACATGCAAACTATGGTCAGGTGCCCAGGAAGGGTATCTCATTTCCCACCTCTTTTCCTCTTGCCATTACGCAAGACTCACCAGCTGGTAGTGTGTTTGATAAAACTCAGGAGTACAAGGCTTCACTTGAAGGCAGGGGGGACCATCTCCATTGTCTAGGGAGTGTTCCACAGTATCTGTGGCATAGACAGAAAGCCAAAAAACTAGTATACAATCTAAGTATAAATCCTAGCATGTCATTCTAACCTCAGGCATGCCTTTGAATTGGGGTTTTGATAAATACTGGTCTCATTCACTCCCCTAATCTTTAAGATCCACGAAGGCAGAGACCATGTTAGCTTTAGCTCACCACCAGATCCTCTGCACGTAGCTTGCATGTGCTCAACTCACTGAATGACTGAATGAGCTCTCTGATAAAAGCCTGCATGCTTTTAGGTTCCCTAGGCTGGTGGCCCCAAGGTACTCTTCTCTCATTCTAAACACTCAGCTTTACAGAGGAGACAGGCCAATCATGTGTGGGAATTTCCTAACCATACAAGTTGCTCAAAGGGCCAATTACCCTAAGGAATGTTATCTGTGATGAAAGGGAAATGGGCCCAATTAACAACCCATCTAAACTGTCCTGCTAGCACCTAACAAATTCACTGAGAAAACTGTTCCCAATGTGAAACTGTCTCATGTCAGGGAAAAGCCAGACACCATTTAAAAAAAGGGAAGTCAATCTGTGGGACCCCATTTATCTAATCAATTCTCACCTGTCGAAAGACGCAGCAGCTTGTGAGGGGGACGGGACTCACATATCGGGAAAGGGAGACTCAAGTCGTAGTCACAGCTCAACTGTAAGAAACCACAACTCACCACGAGACCTTAGGGAGATGGTCCAGTCCAAATAAAACAAAATCTAGTCTCCCCCCACCCCATCTCAAAAATTCCCTTCCACACAAATTAACCCTTTCCAAAATACCAAATTTCTAGGGCTCCATACCGGTGGGGGTACATGCCGAAGACCAGAGAGGGTTGTGAGTAACAGATCCTTCAGGTGGCCCTGCTTGGTCTCCCTCAGTGCCTCACAGAAGGCATCAAAAGCCTGGGGACCCCTCTTGGGCAGCAAGTTGAGAAGTTCCACATTCTGACTGAAACTTCCAACTTTGGCCTAGGATATAAGAACAAAACATGGAATAATATTTACTGATCTACATATAATTCTATTTATCTTCCTGAGCTTCCTCATTCATCTCAAGAATTCCTTTTACAGGAAAAGTATGTACAGGTGAAGTCCTTCCCACCATTCTTACATTACGTATCTTTTCTGTCAAATGCTCTAGAATGGAAAGGTGCTCCCATTTCCTTAGCAAGGTGCTACATTCTTTCCACACTCTATCATGCTCTGTTCCTACCCCTATAACCAACTTATCTTCTTGGCTTCTCTTTTTTGCCTCCAGATACCTGGATGAGCTCCCTCATTTCCAAAGTGATGATGTCCTTCTCCAGAAGATGTTCCAACAGTTCACTCAGCAACAGCTGCTTGGCCAGCACCACCCGGTTCTTTTTCAGAGTTTCCTGATGGTCAGGATGCATGCCACATACTCCCAATACCCTACAGATAGAAGGAAGAAGGAAAGGCTGTCAAGTGCAAGGTTTGACACAGAAGAAGTGGGTGGAAGAGGCATGAGTAGGAAGAACAAAAAGATTAGGACTTATAACAATGAAGATCAGGCATATTTTATTGAATCTGGTTAAATAAAGGATGTACTAAGCAGTAACATATTGATCACAAAGAAACAACATATAATTCTTTCTTGGAGTACATTCAACTGAGACCACCTGAAATAAATAAACTGAGACCATCTGTGACTGGGAGACGGAAATATCTGTCATCAATATAATACACACAAGCACACATATATTCCTGAAAAGGAATACTCCTCTGTCTGATGAATCAATTTTAATTAAAATAATTATTCCAGAAAATATTTCATATTATTTATCTAGGCTGATAAAAGTGATGTAAGTTTAAAATGATTTGGGGTAAAGAATAAAATAACTTAATAAATAAGACAGACACACCCCCTTTTCTCTAGTCTACTTATACAAATTATAACTGTTTTTTAATTAAAAACTTTAAGATCCTGTGACAAAATGACATTACAAATCATCAAATCCTGAATGACATGGGTAAGCAGAAAGTATGATAGAAAGACACAGTAGATAAATGCCAACGATGAACACAACATAATTTGAAATCACTTAAAGAGTTAAAGCAAGTGTAGGTTAAGTTATTCTAGCAATTTAGTTTAGTAGGGACTTCAAGGACTCCTTAGTTTTACTACTGGCTTGCAGAGATCAGCTTCTGCTCATTAACTAAGAGAATCCCATTTCCAGTATACATCATTATCTATGTGCCTAGTTTATATAAATCCAGAGCTCTTCATTCAGCCTACTTAGACAATTTTCAAATACATAACAACAAGAAGGACCTGACTGGATTGAGAAAAGTATATGATAATAGCTTCAGTTTATAACTTAAAACCCTACTTAGAAACTCATCCTGATTTCAAAGATGTGTGTACGTGTTTTGGGGCGCGGGGGGGGGTGATATGCAGCTCAGAATTAATGAAATACCATGCATCTATAGGATGAACGTACTTGGCTTATTTGTGTTAGAAATTTATAATTAGAGGAGGGAAAAGTAGGGTCTTGAAGGAACTGAAAGACCCAGGAACACAACAACGGGGATCTTAAGGCAGAGGAAGGAGGTTGGAAGCAGCCAATGAATTCTGGGTTTGAGACAGTGATGTCTGAAACTACACTTCAACTTCTTTTTGTTCTACAGTAATATTCTCGTTACCAAACCTTCAGTAAAAAACCTGCTACAACAACAAAATCTACACAAACCAAAAACCCCATTTAAGAAGTACTTAAGGGCCGGCCCGTGGCTCACTTGGGAGTGTGGTGGTGCTGACACCAAGTCAAGGGTTGCACTCCCCTTACCGATCAGAAAAAAAAAAAAAGAAGCACCTTAAAACACATCAAGCAGTATCAACTGTGATGTATATGAACTCTGGTAAAAAAGATAACATGGAAGTGGGATGCTGGATATTTCCACAGTATATATAACCAATGGTGGTGCGGATTTCTTCCTTCGGTTTACCTTTGGTTTCCGTGACACCACTGTCTCTGGGTCCTCTTTCTGCCTACCATGTTCCTGTTTCCTTTAGAGGACCTCTGGCCTGCCCTTTAATGTTGATATTCCGTCAGGACTCCCCCTTCAAAGAGCCTCTCCCTAGGCACTCTCATCCACACTCACAACTGACTCCCAGTTCTGCAATCTCTCAAGTTCCAGACTTATTTTCAATCAACAATTGCTTAGTTTTAATCTCAAGCATCATCCGCTCTCTGCACACCTACTCCTTCCTCTATTCAGTACCATGGGGAGAGTCTTAAATGCGAACTTTTAAAAAGTTTCCAATCACTTAGAATTTTAGGACACATCTGGAAGGGGCGGAGGGGGTGGAGAAAAAGACCCCAAAGGAGTTCTTAAGTCTTGATTCTGTGTCCTTTTGCAGGTTTCTCGTTCTGAAGACCCAAATTAATCTTCTGGGTCTGGAGAAGGCGGCCTCAAAATACGTTCTCCTGCGTAATGTCTGCCATGAAACAGAATAACCGGGAGCCACAGGAACCTCTTTGTCCTCTCAACGTATTCAAACCCCAAAGCCTGTGTTGACGTTTTTGAAAATCTGGTCATTATCCGCAAAGCAATGCAAACAAATCACGATATAATCAATCCAAACCAAATGCACACCCAGAGCACCGAGGTCTGCAGGTCTCAACGGTTTTTTAAGGGGACATAGTACTGTTCCTTGTAAGTGAACCAGGGGGGAGGATGAAGAATCATCAAGAGAAGCCGAAGCCGAGAGCTGGCAGGACTGGAAAACACTCCCCTTATTCACAGCCCCCCTGCGCTGGACGAAGGAGTCTGGGGCAGTCTTTGTGCACCGGGAACAAGGCCAAGAAGAGACCCGCCCGCGCGCTCTTGCGCGGAGTTAGACCCGGAGGGCTCGGTGGGCTCGGCGGGCTCGGCCGGGCCTCCCGCCTACGGCAGGAAGCGCGAACGCGGCGGCTTCCAGGGGTCCGAGGGGAGGGGGCGACGGGGGGCTGCAGAGCCGCACGCCTGGAAGCCGCATTCACCTTCCCTGGGCCCCGCTAAGGACCCCTGGGACCCTTCCGCACTCACCTGTGCCCCCTGTCAGCGGCCATTAAGCCCTCCTGCTGCAAGGCGGGCCGGGATCCCGCGCTCGACGCAGCCATTTGCAGCTTTTCC